ACAAACAATTTACCTAATCGGCTGCAACTGACAGCAATGACTGTTTAACGTGGTTTAGCAAGCGGCAGTTGACTGCAGCCCAGTTGCTCAGTTCCGTCTTCTGTCTTGTTCTGCAAATCCTATGGGATTGTACGATACTTCCGGTGCGTAGCTTATCAACAGTAATTGAAAACAATTTTGATCTTTTCTGTCTTTCGACTCAGCGAAAATTGCTTATTTTGGATATATAGTGTTAGTACGAAAAATGAAACTTAGCACTTAGCATTTTTTTTAATTTTTTTAACTGTGATTCTTGTTTACGCTGTACAGTTTTACACTTTAAGTCTGAAGTTTTCTTTATATTACATTAAAAAGCGAGAAATGTGGATAACTTAAGCGTTTGTACGAATTCAAACGCCGATGGTGGACAAAACAAAGTCAAACAAACTGTATCGTTCTTGTGTTCTCGTCAGATCTTTTTCATTTTGTTCTCGTCTTAATAGATAGGTAAAATTCAACAAAGTTTCATTTTATGATTTGATGTTGAACAACGGACAATTGCGACACGAAAAAACGTTTATGTTTGTCAACTATTCAAAAGTGTTCATTTTCATTTTGTAATTAGCTTTTTTTCTTCTTTGTTTTTTCTTTTGGTAAATACTGAACCTCTGATAATTGTTTTAATTGTCACAGCACTAACTTTTTATCAACAAAAAGATAGTTACGTGAAGAAGTTTCACTGGCAAATTCTTAGTACTTTTGTAATTTATCGCTTGAAATATATGATTTGTAGACCATGTCAAAGTTCTTTTTTTTTACATACTTACTATTACTCAGCTTTTTGAAATTTTTAGGAAGGATATAGATAACTGAAATTAGTCACAGTGCTAAGCAAGAAGGAAAAAAGTTAGTGAAAAATGAAGAAAAGTGAGCTAGCAAAGAGGTATCTGCTGTGAAAATAAGTGGGGAATTGAGCAAATTATAAAGAAAAAAAATGAGGTTATTTATTGTGATGGAGTTATTGCCAAATCTATAAACCTGTACAGTTTATTTGCTGTTGCTAATACTTTTGGTTTTTTTAAATCTATTGTTTGTTGAATTTCCGATCTGTAGCAGGTGTTCTAATATTTATAATACTTGGTAACCAAGTTTATTCAGAGTCAGAAGTGCTGCTACTGTTACATTGTCATTCTGTTCCAACAACAGAGTCATTCTCATCTACTGTCTGTTCAGCAGTGTACGGGTGCTTCAATTGCAGAATAAGTCCTGCTTTAAACTTTCGCCTTTCACTCGCTAAGTAACAGTGTTTATCTGTTGTTGCCTTCTACGGTTTTTATTTTGTCTTTGACAAATGCAGTGTGATATTGCCCTTAATAAGGTTTTAATTTGGTTTATTTTTTCTTTGACTGTTGATAGATTGTCATTTCATATTTTGACAACATTTTGCTTCTTTACTTCAACCTTAATATTCTCTCCACTGAACTAAACTACAGTAAAACCTGTATATATAATTTTTTTCATTTACTAAGAATATGAAGAAATAGTAAGTTAACACTAAAATTATATGATAAAGCTTTTTTCAATTATCAAATAGAACGGTGCATTTTATACAGTATACTTATAAACTGCATTGAGTACATTTTTTTCCCACTATACAGCATTTTTAAAACAGTCTTATCCAGTATCCGCCTTGAGTTAGCATTTTTGCCTATATATATATATAT